CTTTATTTTTTTTTTAGTGGTAATTAAAAATTTTTGGGGGGGACTTTAATTTTTTTTTTTCTTTTCACTAAACTTTATCGCTATCACATACAGGGGCTAATAAAACCCCCCTATGTGATAGCAAAATATGTGACAGGTCCTCTTTATGGAGACATCAGGGGTCTCCAAGACCCCTAATGTCACCTAGGACCCCCCAAAAGAAGCTGATGAAGCAGAGATCTGCTCCATCAGCTTCTTTGCAGCTTCTGAAGCTGGAGAGTGACACAAGAACGCGGAAGTGATGTATTATACAACACTTCCGCATTCTTTCAGAGGAGAGGGGACCGGAGGGAGCTCGTGTACCGAGCTCTCTCTGATCCCCCGTGTCACAGGCGACATGCTGATCCCGGGCTCGCACCGGGCACAGCGGAGCCCGGGATCAGCGGGACAACAGCGGAGGGGGACCGCGGAGGGGGGACACACCCGATCGGCACCCCATACATGCGATTGGCCGGCTCTACAGCCGGCGGATCGCATGTATATTAACGGGCATCGCTGCCCGTTTTTAAATTCCGGCCATTTCCCGCAAGGGGGCGTGTCTGAGCGGACGTCTAGAGACGCCCGCTCAGATCGAGAGAGCTCCTGGCCGGCCGTTTTTTTACTACGGCCGGCCCGGAGGTAGTTAAAAAACATCAATGCATTTTTAACATTGAACTCCGAGAGAGCGCCTGGCCGGCCGTTTTTTTACTACGGCCGGCCCGGAGGTAGTTAAGAGGAGATACATGTGGGAGAAGTTTGCAGTCATGTGGGTAAGGAGTGGACATATGGGGAGGAGTCTGTGGTCATGTGGGTAAGGAGGGGATACATGTGGGAGGGGTCAGCAGTCATGTGGGTAAGGAGGGAACACATGGGGAGGAGTCTGCGGTCATGTGGGTAAGGAGGGGACAGATGTGGGAGGAGTCTGCAGTCATGTGGGTAAGGAGGGAACACATGTGGGAGGAGTCAGCGGTCATGTGGGTAAGGAGGGAACACATGTGGGAGGAGTCTGCAGTCATGTGGGTAAGGAGGGGATACATGTGGGAGGAGTCTGCAGTCATGTGGGTGGGGGCGGAGTCTTGATGTAATGACCTGTGTCTCTCTCCTCAGATTTGGAAGGAGTTCTTCTCTATGAAGGATTCGGTGTACGCCGTCATTCCGGTGAGTTCTCCGCCGTCTTAGTACATAGCTACGCTGGGTCATGGCGGCGTTCTTCCCCTCGTTCATTACCCCGAGGGGCCCTTGTGTATAGCATAGGGGCCCATTAAAGGTTATTAGTATACAGGATTTATATGGCGCCAACAGTGTGCGCAGCGCTGTACAATATAGGGAAGACATTACATTGACAAGATGGTAAGGAGGCTCCGCCCCTGAGGGCTTACTATCTAAAAGGGGCGGGATGCAGGCTGAGCAAGAGAAATCCAATTCCACATCCAGCGCCCCCTACAGGCAGTACCGGGTATATACACATTCATCCAGCGCCCCCTACAGGCAGTACCGGGTATATACACATTCATCCAGCGCCCCCTACAGGCAGTACCGGGTATATACACATTCATCCAGCGCCCCCTACAGGCAGTACCGGGTATATACACATTGATCCAGCGCCCCCTACAGGCAGTACCGGGTATATACACATTCATCCAGCGCCCCCTACAGGCAGTACCGGGTATATACACATTCATCCAGCGCCCCCTACAGGCAGTACCGGGTATATACACATTCATCCAGCGCCCCCTACAGGCAGTACCGGGTATATACACATTCATCCAGCGCCCCCTACAGGCAGTACCGGGTAATGGTAAGGAGGCTCCGCCCCTGAGGGCTTACTATCTAAAAGGGGCGGGATGCAGGCTGAGCAAGAGAAATCCAATTCTACATCCAGCGCCCCCTACAGGCAGTACCGGGTATATACACATTCATCCAGCGCCCCCTACAGGCAGTACCGGGTATATACACATTCATCCAGCGCCCCCTACAGGCAGTACCGGGTATATGCACATTCATCCAGCGCCTGTGAATTGGATCTTCTTTCACTTTACAGATGCCGGAGTCACTCTTCGATAACACGGCTCCAGGCAATATAAAAGTACTGCAGTAAGCGTAGAGCTAGCATGATCTTCTCTGTAGGTCTCCTTCCTGCCGTTGCACTGCTCGTTCACCTTGTTCTTGCTTTGTTCTGCAGGGAGAAACGTTTGATCTGTTGTGGACGAGGGCCCAGAGCTGCCCTGCGGTGAGTCTCTCTCATCTCTGTTCCCCACATCAGCGACACCCCCAGTCATGTGACTCTTGTAGATTGATGTGATTGGCTGACCTTCTGTCTTCTCTGTTGTAGTTCCTGTATGCGTTGCCGAGGGCGGAGGGCTACGAATTCTTTGTGGGTCAATGGTCTGGAACGGAGCTGCACTTCACCTCTCTTATCAATATCCAGGTGCCAAATGACAAGCGGTCACAATGTACCATGCATCAAACTATTTCACAGGCAGTAACGCACAACGCACCGTATCACAACGCACAGTATCACAACGCACCACAACGCACAGTATCACAGCGCACCGTATCACAGCGCACCGTATCACAACGCACTTGTTCCCCCCTCCCTGCCTTGTTCCCCCTTCGCTGCCCTGTGCCCCCTTCTCTGCCTTGTTCCCCCTTCTCTGCCTTGTTCCCCCTTCGCTGCCTTGT